ACATAGTACTTATTATTACCCATACACAAGGAACTATGTTAAAGATTAGGGAAGCTATTATAATAAACCAGTTAAATATTCTCTCTTCAAAGTCCACATGAGTACTTTTGAAGATATGCAACAAATAATCATAAGATTAAGTAAAAAGTGATTATTTTATATATTTTTTTAAAGTCACGGTAGGAGCTTATATTATTTCAAAAGACTACATGTATTTTAAGAACCGAGAGTCAGGAAATATTCTGTAACTGTCAGCTGTCAGCCTTGGAAAATGATTGGGGGAGAAAAAAAGAATTAGGGCTGAATACATTGAAAGTTCGCATAATATAATAGTTGTGCCTGCAGTCAGGCTTTTATTTTCACAAAAGATATCATGGGAAATTAAATATGCTGTAAATTAGCTGGCCATATAAGTTTTTAAAAGAAAAGACTAAAACTAAAAATTATGGAAAAAGGATTCCAATCAAATTAACCACAGATATGAGTATCAATATTTCAAAGATAATACCAGAAATTTACAAATTTTTGCAAATATGACAAAACCTCTGACCCCCAGAGACAGGCATAAGCGCAACAAATTGCACATAATTTCAGGCAGTTATATGACCCTGAAATCTTCCTGAATCTCAGTTATAGGAGAGCTAATTATTCAGTTATCAAGGATCAAAAAAATGATGTCTCAAGTTATTCAGTCAACACACAGGCACTGAGGATATGATGGTGAGCAAAGATTCAGTCAGGTTGAGGGCATAAGAAATCTCTTATGTTCACATGCCCCTAATGTTAAGCAATTCTTACAAATGCTAAAAACAAGTAAACAGTGCTACAAAAGCTCACAAAAGGAGTAAATGGAAGTCAAGAACCATTTCCCTGGTAAAGCAACAAAGAAGTATAGAATGTACTGAGAGGAAAAGGGGCTATGGATAAAAGGAATGGCATGTGGAAATAATCTGTGCACATGCTAGGGCTATGACTGACAGCGGGGAAAGCCAGTGTGGCTTAAGTACAGTGCCTGAGGCAGGTGAGGGATGTGGTGTAACACTGGAGAGACTGGCCTTCTTTAGATTGGTCTTGACCAAAAGCAACAGGAAACCACATCGATTTTAAGCCAGAAAACACATGATTATGCATGTTTTTAAGATCACACTCCATCTGTACTACAGAGATGAAATTAGAAGATGGGTCAAGTAGTTGGGAGGCAATGACAGTAGTTCTTCTAGGAGATATAACTTGGATTAAGATAGTGGGGATGAAGGAAAATCTAGAGGGGTGGGATGGGGGTGGGAGGGAGGCTCAAGAGGGAGGGAGCTGATTCTAGTTGTTGTGTGGCACAAACTAATACAACATTAAAAAGCAATTCTCCTCCAATTCAAAATAAATAAATTTTTTTTAAAAGGGGGAAAAAGTAATGGAAAGACATGAAAGAAAACAGTGAATTTGAACTCTTTTTCATATATATATTTTTTCCTTAAAGAAGTTAATTCATTTATTTTAACCAATTTCCTATGAGATTATTTCTCTTAGTTTCCATTAAGCTATTTTATAGTAATGACATTAGCCATTTATCTCTCATATCTGCTGTATTTTTCTTCTAACTGGTTGCCTCATTTCTTCCCCCTGAGTTTTTGAATTTTTATGTAAGCAATATGTTTTTCCCTTTGTAGTCATTCTCCTACTAATTTTAAATTATAACACTTTTCTTCCACCATCACCACTTTCTTTTCTCTTTTTTCCCCTACTTTCATATTATAACATGTAAGATTTACTTCAGCATGGGATGTATCAACTTCCTAATTTGATTAGTTCATTCAATCATTCAGCAAACATTCATAAACCACACATGGCGCAGGTGATAGACCCACACACAAAACGAGAGAAACATGTAAACAAATGCTTTCAGCGTAGAAAGAGTCCTGGTTGTATAAAGAACGGACACCTAGCTCATACAGAGATGAATTGGTGAGGACATCCTAAAGGTCAAATTTTAACTGTTCTGAAGAGGCCTGGAAACTGGCTAAAAGGAAAAAGAAACAACCTTAAGTGAAGAGTGGAGTAAATGACTGTCACCACTCTTCAGAGTAATTTCAAAATCAAATGGGAAACTCACTAGTATCTGCAGTGAATTTCCAAGGACATCACTCTGATTAAGGGCTCTTATACCTCACCTGTAATCTAACAGGAAAAAAGACCACCAAATGCTTTCTGTAACTAGCATGAGTTTAACGTACGGGTATTAATGTAAACCAAATACCTTCAAGAGTTCTCTTCAATATACCCTGTTGTTTACTGTCAAGTGAAATCCAGACTTATTAACCTGGCAGTAAGACAGTAATGTGGGCCTTAGGAAGCATCACTGCAAACAAAGCTAGTGGAGGTGATAGAATTCCAGTTGAGCTATTTCAAATCCTAAAAGATGAAGCTGTTAAAGTGCTGCACTCAACAGGCCAGCAAATTTAGAAAACTCAGCAGTGGCCACAGGACTGGAAAAGGTCAGTTTTCATTGGAATCCCAAAGAAAGGCAATGCTCAAACTACTGCACAGTTGTACTCATCTCACATGCTAGCAAAGTAATGCTTAAAATTCTCCAAGTCAGAAATGAACAGCAGCACATGAACCGTGAACTTGCAGATGTTCAAGCTGGATTCAGGGAGAGGAACCAGAGATCAAACTGCCAACATCCGCTGGGTCATAGAAAAAGCAAGAGAGTTCCAGAAAAACATCTACTTCTGCTTTATTGACTATGCCAAAGACTTTGACTCTGTGGATCACAACAAACTGTGGAAAATTCTTCAAGAGAGGGGAATACCGGACCACCTGATCTGCTTCCTGAGAAATCTGGAGGTCAGAAAGCAACAGTTAGAACTGGACATGGAACAACAAACTGGTTCCAAATAGGGAAAGGGGTATGTCAAGGCTGTATACTGTCACCCTGCTTATTTAACTTATATGCAGAGTACATCATGAGAAACGCTGGGCTGGATGAAGCACAAGCTGGAGTCAAGATTGCTGGGAGAAATATCAACAACCTCAGATATGCAGATGACACCACCCTTATGGCAGAAAGCAAAGAACTAAAGAGCCTTTTGATGAAAGTCAAAGAGCAGAGTGAGAAAGTTGACTTAAAACTCAACATTCAGAAAAATAAGATCATGGCATCTGGTCCCATCATTTCATGACAAATAGATGGGGAAACAATGGCATCAGTGGTTGACTTTATTTTTCTGGGCTCCAAAATCACTGAAGATGGTGACTGCAGCCATGAAATTGAAAGACGCTTACTCCTTAGAAGAAAAGTTATGACCAAGCTAGACAGCATATTAAAAAGCAGAGACATTACTTTGCCAACAAAGGTCCATCTAGTCAAAGCTATGGTTTTTCCAGTAGTCATGTATGGATGTGAGAGTTGGACTATAAAGACAGCTGATCACCGAGTAATTGATGCTTTTGAACTGTGGTGCTGGAGAAGACTCTTGAGAGTCCCTCGGACTTCAAGGTCCAACAAGTCCATCCTAAAGGAAATCAGTCCTGAATAGTCATTGGAAGGACTGATGCTATGCTGAAATTCCAATGCCTAGGCCACCTAATGCAAAGAACTGACTCATCTGAAAAGACCCTGATGCTGGGAAAGACTGAAAGCAGGAGGAGAAGGTGAGAACAGAGGATGAGAGGGTTGGATGGCATCACCGACTCAATGGACATGAATTTGAGTCAACTCCGGGAGTTGGTGATGGACAAGGAAGCCTGGCATGCTTCAGTCCATGGGGTTGCAGAGTCTGACACGACTGAACAACTGAACTGAATTGAAGACAGTAATACACTAGCTTTATTTCCTACTTCATCTCACAAGTTCTCATCAATAGAGTGTTCTTCACTCCTGTATAACTCAAGGTGTTTCCCACTTCCACTGTTTTTTTTCCCCCCATACTTTGAGAATTTAATATGCTTTATATAAAAACATAATTCTCAACCATTGCCATATTTATATTACCTTTTTTTCTTTTAACACCAAAAATATTCTTTCTTCGCCTATGTGTCCCTCTAGCTAGAATGCCTTCTTTCCCCTTCATTGAATCACTAAATGCAATCTTGTGTAAGATCCTTAAAGATCAAGACCAAATATCACTCATTTCATTTTGCTTTCTTTGGAAACTTTTCTGCACTAAGTATCTTTTTTTTTCTGTGAGCATTATTCTGATGCTGCTTACCCTTTCCTACCTGAATACAGGTTGCTTAAAAACAGAAAGTATGTCTAAAGAATTGTGTAATATGAAAAGTGACTTGCTCAGAGCAGACACATGACCACTGAATAAATACGAAGAACCTCCTTTGCTGGAGCTGCGAAGTTCTCAACTGACCCCCGCTTTCCAGCCTACTTCAAGTCTTCGATGACTTTTGAATTTCTTGAATAGAGCCAGAAGCTAGAAAGGGGATAATGACAGAAACGGTAAGCTAGTAAAATTAACCCGTAATGGTGGAGGTGATGAGGGCAATTGTCTGATAAGACTGGATTTATGAGAGTTGAGATGAAAACTTGGGGGCAGTAAGTATTAAAATTTTGCTGCAAATGGAAGCAGAGAAATAGAACAAAAGCCATAAGAAGAAATGAAGTACTGAGAAAGCGTTCATCGTTATAAACGATACGGTCTCGTTAAAGATGAGCAATTTCCTAGGAAAACCTAAAGCTCTCAACCTCTCAAGGAAAGTACTAACATGAGCTTCGTTTTACAGACGGTTACTGAATAGAGAAATTAAATGATCTTCCCAAGGTCCATGGAAAAAAATTCAAGACAACCGACGGCCAAAGACATTTCAGCCATCTAGAAACCAGGAGGCGGAAGAGCTGGGTTGGGGAGTTACGGCTGTCAGTCCTCAGAGTTCCGGAAAATTCGCGCCGTTAGGCGCACCTCCCACCTCGTCCCAGACCTTTCCAAAAGACGCAGAAAAGCCGTCCTGAGGCCCCTAAAGGTCAGCCCCACACGCTTCCAGACCTCAGTGCTCACCTCATTATTGAGGTTCAAAGTCCCCGGCTCGGCCATGGTAGCTCTTAGCAGAAGATCCGCCGCTGCCGCACGTGAACTGTAACTGCCGGAACGTTGTCACGCCCCCAACGGCGGCCTCAGCGGCCCAAAAGGAATCCGCCGTCTGCTCAAACCGACGCGTAAGTAAAAGGTATACCGACTTTGAGGGGAAGAGCGGAAGTGACGAAGAACAACTTCCTGCGTCGAGTGCGCCGTACCGGATTTCCGTGTGCAGGGGCCGGTGGCTGAGAGGGTGTCCTGCAAGTTATTGCCTTCAGAAGTTTTTCAAGATGCTGATTTTCTTATACTCTTTTGCAGAATGGGTCCAGCTTTGTAAGAACCTTGTTTTTCTTGTTTCAATGGGAATGAAAGCCTTTATGAAAGGATCACTTGAGCCACTAGTTTTGCCCCGAATTTTTACCTACCTTTTGTGAAGGTTTCTGCGCTTTTGACGTGCACTTTTGTTAGATTCACCTTTTTTCCTGTCCTCACTGTATAGCTAAAGCATGGCCATATTTTTCTGCACACCGAAAGAAGGTTTAAATTTATATGGAGAACATATAAGCAAAACCAAGGTGTACATTTGCTGCTGCCTGTGAAAATGGCTGTTTTGAAGTATAATATGCATGCAGAGAACCAAGAAGGAGTGAGTCGAATTAAATAACATTATTAATAGTTAGCACCTGGTATTATTGAGCTTTATAAGGGGTCCAGTGCTGGGATAAACGCTTTGCGTGAGTTATGTCTAAAATAGTAAATTCTAAAGAGATAGGAACTATTCTTATTTTACAGATTTGGAAACTAACTTTTGAGGAGCCAGTTGTCTCACCAAGAGTTGCCCAGCTGGAACCCACCACTGCTACAGGACCCCAGGGCTGGTGACATAATTTGAGGGGCCCAGGGCAAAATGAAAATGCAGGACACCACTCCCCCCACCCCCACCCCAATTCAAAAAGTGGGGGAAAGTTTTTTCTTTTCTTCTGTGGTGTCTTTTGACCTGTCATGTGCTTTTTATTTGGTGTTTAGTGTGGTGCTCCCTCAAGCAACAGGGATGCCCTGGGGCTAGTGCACGCCTTCCCAGGTGCCTGGGACCCATTTTTGAGGACCCATGGAGGGCGTGCCTGTACTGGATCAAGATGGCAGCAATCGCTAGGCAAGAGATTGGGAAGTAGGAAGCCAGAGAATCTGAATGGGAGTATGTGGTAGGAAATACCACACTGATCTGAGACTAAGTTCTTGACATATGTTCCATTGTCCCACTGGATTTCACTTAACAAAACTCAATTCTCAAACTTATTAAGAATTTCAATACTGTAATGAAAGAGAATTTAAACCAGGCCCACTTCTGAGCTTCTGCCCAAGAAGAGGGTGCTGTGCAGAGTCTGTGCTTTTGACTCCTGATTCTGTATTCAGTTTACAACTTAGTCTTATCTTTGGATTGGTATTCTTTAATGTGTGATTTGGGCACAGTTGGATTAACACCAACTTCCTGTTTGACTAGTGTTGCATAAAGGTAGTTTTTGTATTCACAAATCATATGCTGAAATTGTAATTATCTTCTTATTCAGCTAGTTCTTCTTATCAAAACTGATCTGGAGTGAAGGGGCTTTTCACCCCAGTTGGGTAGTAGGCACTTCAGTCATAAAATATATAGGAAAGGAGATTTTAAATATAAATGTAGAGCTTTATGGAAAATCTGTCTTCTAATTCAGGAAAAAGGTGTTTTTAGTATGATTCCATAATGCTTTAAGATTATTTTTATTTACAGTTTTCTACTTTATTTTGAAATTTTTTATGTACTGTTTATTCTTTTATGTGATCTGTTCAGTTTAGTTCAGTCACTCAGTCCTGTCCAACTCTTTGTGACCCCATGGACTGCAGTACGCCAGGCCTCCCTGTCCATCACCAATGCCTGGGGTTTACTCAAACTCATATCTATCGGGTCAGTGATGCCATCCAACCATCTCATCCTCTGTCATCCCCTTCTCCTCCTGCCCTCAATCTTTCCCAGCATGAGGGTCTTTTCCAATGACTCAGTTCTTCGCAGCAGGTGGCCAAAGTATTGGAGTTTCAGCTTCAGCATCAGTCCTTCCAGTGAATATTCAGGACTGATTTCCTTTAGGATGAACTGGTTGGATCTCTTTGCCATCCAAGTGACTCTTCAAGAGTCTTCTCCAACACCACAGTTCAAAAGCATCAATTCTTTGGCACTCAACTTTCTTTATAGTCCAACTCTCACATCCATACATGACTACTGGAAAAACCATAGCCTTGACTAGACGGACCTTTGTTGACAAAGTAATGTCTCTGCTTTTTAATATGCTGTCTAGGTTGGTCATAACTTTTCTTCCAAGGAGTAACCATCTTTTAATTTCATGGCTAAGCACCACATGGTTAATTTTATGTGATAAGCTCTCAGTAACCTTAGATATCATTTTTAAAGTGACTAGTAGTTTTCATTGTCCCTAATGTATCACCTCCCTATCTATCCATCTCTGTCTTTTGATGCTGCAATCTCAAAAATTTTGATTCTTTACAAAAGTGATTCTAGTAACTAATATGTCCTCTAGTAATAATAATGTATTAATATTTGTGTTAATCAGGCTACATGTTTCTCTGGAAAGCAGTACCTGCTCCTTTTATTCTTGAAGGACTGAGCTGGATCAGTTAAATGCTGTCAGAGATATGAAACAGCAACAGTATTACCATTAAAAGCAGCTGGTATGAGACCTCTTTTGTCTTTATTGCAGTGTTCCATTTAGTGGAAGTCAGGATTCCCAAGTGTGTGCAATGGGGGCTTGAAGTTTCTTAAGACTTTCTCAGATTCCACTGTATTTGTCTACTCAGGCTACAACAAAATACCACAGACTGGGTGACTTAAATAACATAACAGAAACTTCTTTTCTTACATTTGCTAGAACTTCTAATATATTCTGGATCATTCCTGATTTTAATGGGAATAGCTTTCACATTTTACCATTTGAAGTGACTTTTTGTGTTTGTTGTGGTGAATAGTTTAGTAAAATTCAGGCAGTTTTCTTGTATTTGTCTAGGCTTTTTGTTGATATGTAGAAATGGTTGATGAAATTCATCATTTGCTTTTTCAATTTCTTTTGCTTTGATCATATAGTGTTTTTTTCCCTTTAAGTCATTTCCCCCACATATGTTCTAATTTTATTGTGGCCTTTAGAAAGGTATAGGTGTGGACCTTAGCATCAGGCCTGCCTGTATGTGGACCCTAGCAGTGGGCCTGCTCATCTGTGTCCCGTGCACAGCCCTCACCAGCCATCCTGCCTGTGGACCCTGCCAGTACGCCCACCCAGGATCTCTGGGCAGTTTGCCTGGTGAATGACTTTCCTGTGAAGCCAGATTGAAAAGTCTGTTAGAGGACAATGCAAGGCTATTATGATAATGGAAATCAAGGAAACATGATAGCACCAAAGGAGCAAAATAAAGATCAAGTAACTGACCCTAAGGAAATGGTGACTAGCAATTTTCCTGACAAAGAATTAAAAATAATCATCTTATATTAACCTCAGTGAGCTAAAAGAGAACAGAGACATAAAACAAAATGGCATCAAGAAAACAATATATTAATAAAATGAGAAATTCAACATCCTTTCATGATAAAAACTCTCAACAAATTGGGTATAGCAGAAATGTACCTCAGCATAATAAAATCCATGTGTAACAAGCCCACAGCTGGCAGCTAAAAGGTTGAAAACTTTTCCTCTGATGTCAGGAATGAGACAAGGATGCCCACTCCCACCACTCCTATGCAACACAATACTGGAAATCCTAGTCAGAGCAATTTGGCAAGAAAAGGAAATAAAGGGCATCAAAAAGAAGAAGTAGAATGATTTCTGTTTGCAGATGGCATGATTTTATGTGTGGAAACCTTGAAAATTCCACACACACAAAAACTAAACTAATAATACATTCTGTAAAGTTTCAGGACAAAAATCAACAAATAAAAATCATGTTTCTGTACACTTAGAATGTTCTATCCCAAAAGCAAATTAACAAAACAATCCAATTTAAAATAGCAGAAGAAAGAATAAGATATTTAAAATAAATGTAATCAAGGAAGTATAAAACACTGATGAAAGAAATTAAAGCAGGGCAAATAAATGAAAAGATGATCCTGTGTCTATGGACTGGAAAAATAAATACTGTTAAAATGCCCATACTACCCAAAGCAAATTCAATGCTTTTAAATAGAAGTAGAAAAAAAAATCCTAAAATGCATATGGAATTATTAAAGACCCTAAATAACCAAAACAGTTTTGAGCAAGAATGATAAACCTGGAGGCATCACCCATCCTTTTCAAAATACACTACAAAGCTACAGTAATCACAACAGTATGGAAACAGTGTGGTAAAAACAGGTGCATGTGTATGTGTGTGCGCACACACACACACACGGAACAGAATAAATATTCCAGGAATAAGCCCACACATATAAAGTCGATTGATTTTTTTTTTTACAAAGATGCCAAGAATATACACTGGGGAAAATATTTAAAAAATAAAAACTCTCTTTTAAAACTCTCGCAATAATCGGTGTTGTGAAAACTGTATGTCTACCTGCAAAAAAGACCTTAAACCACAAAACTCTTTAAACCAACAAAACATAAGGAAAAAGCTTCTTGACACTGGCCTTGGTAATGGTTTATTGGATATGACACCTAAAAGTTCAGGGAAGTATAGATAAGTAGTATTACAGCAAACTGAAAAGCTGCAAAACAAAGGAAATCATCAAAATTAATAGGTAACTCACAAAATGGGCGGAGAGGGCAATAGCAACCCACTCCAGTACTCTTGCCTGGAAAATCCCATGGATGGAGGAGCCTGGTAGGATGCAGTCCATGGGGTCACAAAGAGTCGGACACAACTGAACGACTTCATTTTCACTTTTCACTTTCGTGCATTTTAGAAGGAAATGGCAACCCACTCCAGTGTTTTTGCCTGGAGGATCCCAGGGATGGCAGAGCCTGGTGGGCTGCCGTCTGTGGGGTTGCACAGAGTCGGGACATGACTGAAGTGACTTAGCAGCAGCAGCACAAAATGGGAAAATTTCAGACCATACATCTGATAAAGGGTTAATATTTGAAAGTTATACGACTCGATACCAAAAGGAAAACAGCCCAAGTTTAAAAAAAAATGGGCAAAGGACCTGTACAGACATGTCTCTGAAAAAGGCATACAAATAATAAGCATGTATGTGAAAATATGTTCACCATCAATAATCATCCAGGAAACACAAATCCAAATCACAGTGAGATATCACCTTGCATCTGTTAGGATTTTTATAAACAAAAAACAAAAGATAACAAATATTGGTATTGATGTGTAGAAAAAGGAACCCTTGTACATTGTGGGGATGTAAATTGATGCAGGCAATGTTTACTGCAGCATTACTCACAGTAGCCAAGGCAAGGAAGCAACTTAAATGTTTATCAGTGGATTACTGGAAAACGAAAATGCGATTCACACAAGCACAAAGGTATTACTCAGGTTTTAAAAAGAAGGAAATTCTGCCATTTGTAATAACATGGTTGAACCTGGAAGACATTATACTAAGTGAAATAAGCCAGACACAGAAAGACAAATAATACATCATTTCAGTTCAGTCACTCAGTTGTGTCCGACTCTTTGTGACCCCATGGACTGCAGCACACCAGGCTTCCCTGTCCCTCACGAGCTCCCAAAGCATGCTCAAACTCATGCCCATTGAGTCGGTGATGCCATCCCACCATCTCATCCTCTGTCATCCCTTTCTCCTCTTGCCTTCAATCTTTCCCAGCATCAGGGTCTTTTCAGATGAGTCAGTTCTTTCCATCAGGTGGTCAGTGTATTGGAGTTTTAGCTTCAACATCAGTCCTTCCAATGAATATTCAGGACTGATTTCCACTAGGGTGGACTGGTTAGATCTCCTTGCAGTCCAAGGGACTCGCAAGAGTCTTCTCCAACACCACAGTTCAAAAGCATGAATTCTTTGGTACTCAGCTTTCTTTATAGTCCAACTGTCATATCCATACATGACAACTGGAAGAACCATAGCTTTGAGCAGATGGACCTTTGTCAGCAAAGTAATGTCTCTGCTTTTTACTATGCTGTCTAGGTTGGTCATAACTTTCCTTCCAAGGAGTAAGCGTCTTTTAATTTCATGGCTGCAATCCCCATCTACAGTGATTTTGGAGCCCCCCCAAAATAAACTCTCTCACTGTTTCCATTTTTCCCCTATCTATTTGCCATGAAATGATGGGACCAGATGCCATGATCTTAGTTTTTTTAATGTTGAGTTTTAAGCGAGCTTTTCACTCCCCTCTTTCATTTTCAGCAAAAGGCTTTTTAGTTCTTCTTCCTCACTTTCTGCCATAAGGGTGATTTCATTTATGTATCAGAGGTTATTGATATTTCTCCCGGCAATCTTGATTCCAGCCTGTGCTTCATCCAGCCCAGCGTTTCTCATGATGTACTCTGCATATAAGTTAAATAAGCAGGATGACAATATACAGCCTTGACATAGTCCTTTCCTGATTTGGAACCAGTCTGTTGTTCCATGTCTAGTTCTAACTGATGCTTCATGTTCTGTGTACAGATTTCTCAGGAGGCAAGCAAGGTGATCTGGTATTCCCATCTCTTGAAGAATTTTCCACAGTTTATTGTGATCCACATAGTCAAAGGCTTTGGCATAGTCAATAAGGCAGAAGTGGATGTTTTTCTGGAACTCTCTTGCTTTTTCTATGATCTAAAGTATGTTGGCAATTTAATCTCTGGTTCCTCTGCCTTTTCTAAACCTAGCTTGAACATCTGGAAGTTAACACTACATAATATTACTTATATAAGGAATTTAAAACTGTCAGACTCATAGAATCAGAGTAGAATCATGATTTCCAGAGGCTGGAGGGAGGGAAAAGTGGGAAAGTATTAGTCAAAAGGCACAAAGTTTTAGTTATACAAAATAAATAGGTGCTATGGATTTACTATACAGCATAGTTCTTATAGTTAACAATACATTATTGTATGCTTAAAATTTTCCAAGAGGATGAATCTTGAAAACATTTTAGTATTTTTATCATCAGAAAAATAATAAAAAGGGCAGGAGGAAACAGTTGGAGGTGATGGATATGCTAATGGCATAGATTATGTTGATGGTTTCACAGTATATATGTCTCTCCAAAGTCATCAAGTTGTACATATTAATTATTTAAGCTTTTTGTATGTCAATTATGCCTCAATAATTTTTTTTTAAAGAAAAGACATCTGGGGGTTA